TGAAATATCGCGATATTTCAGTGTGTCGATATTTTCTTACACCCCTACTACGTTGTTGAGGCTTTATCAACCTCATCAGTAGACGCCTACGAATTGGGACARCCTACGAGGCAGGGCAATGACGTAAGCGGCCGACAAATGCGCCCCTCGTCGGCTGCAACCCATGAAGTGAGACACAGCTGATAATATCATTAAGAGTGACCACAAATAAGGACGCTTACCACAGTCAAACAAATTTGACTTGGTTAGTTTTATAGACACCAACATTTAATCTACTGCTTGAGCTTTGATTAAAGTTTTGAGGTTAACTGCAAAAAGTCCCATGAACCACTGCACAGGTTTGATGAAACTTTCAGGAAACAACTGGATGAACTGACTGAGTCAACCCAATTCAAGAAGGCAGCTACAGCCAACTAGCATTAGCCTACACAAAAATTGTTGCAACCCAGCCAGTTTTCTAGATATTAAACTAAAATTTGATGTGATATTAGGTGAAAGTCATTCACAACACCCTCAGAGTACGAGACTGCACACAGTGGTATGTAATTTAAAGGTTTGACTAAAACTGGTTAGGCACATTGCTCTTCCTGAATCTGAGGTTCGACAGTAGATCGAAGTAAACTTACCCTGGAAGGGAAAGAAGTGTGATCCCACAGCCAGAAAACACTCTGCGCTTCGTTTTTATTTTTTAATGGAAACCACAACCCCGGTCTGCAGCATAGAGTTGCCAACTCAAGCCCTCCAAAATATGGGACAGCTATGCTGGGGGCGGGGCTTAATGTGTCAATTATGACATCACACAATATTTCTTATTTCCCAACAGTTGATCTACATCCACCTAAACAAGCTTTATTTTTGTTTCTGTTATTTCCATGTAACATGTTGAATTAAAAAGAAGAATTTAATCACACAATGTTTTTATATTTAATTTTTTTTAACTTTCAACTTTTCAGCTGCTGATGGCCTCAGTAAACAGAAAGATAAAGAAATGTAAATGTTAACATGTACGCTGGTGTAATTCAATCTTTCTAAGCATTTACCACTTCAGAGAATAACTGTTCAAAAACAAATTTATTTCAGGGCTATACTACAATTGTATAAACATTTTTTGGCAATTTCTATGGATCTTATGTTTTCAGAGGTTAGATCAAATGTGCCCTTAAATAGTTTGATAATTTATTTTTGGTAGCTTTAGATTTATTTTTCTCATTTCTGTTGCTTAGACTGCTGGAGGACAAGCTGTCCACATTTTCTCACTCTGCTATTATCTTTAGCCTCTCTTCTCTACATGTATGTTATAATTACTTCTATAAATGACATGTTTTCTTTGTCTCTCTTCCAGAGGGAAAAAAACACCTGGACCAGTTCTTCTGTGTTTACCTGTGTCTCTTTCCTGTCCCTCAACCAGTCGGTCGAGGCAGATGGTCTCCTGTCC